ATAGATTTTTTTGTAAAATAAAATGATGCAACATTTGCAGATATTTTTACTGGTCTTCCTTTATAAATATGCATTTCTTTAAACATAATTTAAAAGCAGTGTAAGGGAAGTAACCAAACAATGTATTTGGATTACCTCCCTTGCACTGTGTTAAATTATCTTTATTGTTCATTAACCATTACTTAATACATAATTTAAAAGCAGTGTAAGGGAGATAATTTCAATGATGTATTTGATTTATCTCCCTTACACTGCTTTAAATTATGTTTTGTACTAAAGTATTTGTCCATTAACCAGGACAACCTTGTTTTCCCCCCTTTTTTGCCCCTAATTCCTAAACGGTTTGAGCCATAACCCCCCAAAGCAAATCCTAACCATCCCTTTGTGGTATGGAAACTTGTAGTATAATTTCAGAGAGATCCATACACTATTCCACAGTTATTGTCTGGAAACTAGAAAATGCTTATTTTTGGCCCCTTTTTGGCCCCTAATTCCTTAACTGTTGGTACCATAACCCCCAAAATCAATCCCAACCTTCCTTTTGTGGTATTTAACCTTATGGTAAAATTTCAAAAAGATCCATTCACTTAAACTAAAGTTAGAGTGCGAAAACCAATGTGTATTCGGACGACGACGCAGGACGACGACGACGCCGGACGACGACGACGCCAACGTCATACCAATATACGACCACAAAAATTTTTTTGCGGTCGTATAAAAACACGGTTAGATTTGGCATATCAAAGAACCCCAATAATTCAATTTTCGATGAAATCAAACAAAGTTTAATTTTGGACCCTTTTGACCTCAATATGAACCAATTTGATAGCGGGGCCTACAAATAAAAAATCTAAATACATGGTTAGATTCAGCATATCAAAAAACCTCATATATTCAATTTTTGTTGAAATCAAACAAAGTTTAATTTTGGACCCCAATTTGGACCAACTTGAAAACTGGGCCCATAATCAAAAATCTAAATACATGTTTAGATTCAGCATATCAAAGAACCCCATATATTCAATTTTTGTTGAAATCAAACAAAGTTTAAATACTGGACCCTATCTTGGACCAACTTGAAAACTGGGCCCATAATCAAAAATCTAAACACATGTTTAGATTCAGCAAATCAAAGAACCCCAAGAATTCAATTTTTGTCAAAATCAAACTAAGTTTAATTTTGGACCCTTTGGACCTCAATGTAAACCAATTTAAAAAACAGGACCCAAAATTAAAAACCTAAATACACGGTTAGATTTGGAATATCAAAGAACCCCAATAATTCAATTTTAGATGAAATCAAACAAAGTTTAATTTTGGACCCTTTTGACCTCAATATGAACCAATTAGATAACGGGGTCCACAAATAAAAAATCTAAATACATGGTTAGATTCAGCATATCAAAGAACCCCATATATTCAATTTTTGTTGAAATCAAACAAAGTTTAATTTTGGACCCCAATTTGGACCAACTTGAAAACTGGGCCAAAAATCAAAAATCTAAATACATGTTTAGATTCAGCATATCAAAGAACCTCATATATTCAATTTTTGCTAAAATCAAACAAAGTTTAATTTTGTACCCTTTGGACATTAATGTAGACCAATTTGAAAACTGGACCCAAAATTAAAAATTTAAATACACTGTTAGATTCGGCATAACAAATAAATAAATGTGATCAAAGATTTTACAAATCTAATGCGCCATACTGTGCAATTAAAGATTACTTCTTGAAATTTTTCAATATTTGAAATTTGAAAAAAAAGTAATATTTGAAGAATAATTCTTTTTAATTTCTGAAATCTGAAATGAGAAAAAATTGGCCCCCAACAATTTCTTTTTGTCCCCCCCCCCCTTTTTCCCCCAAAAAAAATCTTTCCCTCAAGATATGGTCATAATCTTAATTCAAATTTCCAATGGAGTTGGCAACCATAATTACCCATTTAAATTTACCATAGTGCTAACTTAATCTATTTTATAATAGAATTAATAAAAATATAGTGTCAAATCTTTCATATGGATTTTTTTGTAAAAAAAAAAGATGAAAACATTTGCAGATATTTTTACTGGTCTTCCTTTATAAATATGCATTTCTTTAAACATAATTTAAAAGCAGTGTAAGGGAAGTAACCAAAACGTTGTATTTGGATTACCTCCCTTACACTGTTTTAGATTATCTTTATTGTTCATTAACCATTACTTTATACATAATTTAAAAGCAGTGTAAGGGAGATAATTTCAATGATGTATTTGATTTATCTCCCTTACACTGCTTTAAATTATGTTTTGTACTAAAGTATTTGTCCATTAACCAGGACAACCTTGTTTTTCCCCCTTTTTTGCCCCTAATTCCTAAACGGTTTGAGCCATACCCCCCAAAGCAAATCCTAACCATCCCTTTGTGGTATGGAAACTTGTAGTATAATTTCAGAGAGATCCATACACCGTTCCACAGTTATTGTCTGGAAACTAGAAAATGCTCATTTTTGGCCCCTTTTTGGCCCCTAATTCCTTAACTGTTGGTACCATAACCCCCAAAATCAATCCCAACCTTCCTTTTGTGGTATTTAACCTTATGGTCAAATTTCAAAAAGATCCATTCACTTAAACTAAAGTTAGAGTGCGAAAACCAATATGTATTCGGTCGACCACGCCGGATGACGACGACGACGACGACGACAACAACGACGCCAACGTCATACCAATATACTACCACAAAATTTTTTGGCGGTCGTATAAAAATGCTAAAAGAAAGGAAAAATCGTCATTATAGAGCAATAATTCATGACGATTTTGGTCATGTAGACTTATTTGTAGATCTTGTGTTGTTGATAATTTTGGCCCTTTCTATCTATCTATTACAGTTTTTAAATTATTAGGCAAAAACGCAAAAATTGTAAAAATCGTTGGCTTATTTGTAGATCCTGTCTTGCTGATCACTTTTCTGTATTAAATATTCTATTTATCTATTAAAGTTTTCAAAATAATCAGCAAATTTCTTTTTTAAATTGGTAAAACTTTACATTTATTTGGCAATAACTCTTATAAGAAGTCATCTGACAGTTTTGACTTAAATAGACAGCAGGTAGATCTTAACATTCTGAACATTTCTGTCCCTGTCAAATTTTCTCTATTCATAGTGGTTTTCAAGATAATAGACAAAACTTGCATTTTATCACCATGTTCTAATTTTTGGCACGTCGTCCATGTTTGTTTGCAGACAGGCTCATCGGACATATTTTTCAAAATATATATCCTAATTAAGATTGTGGTCAAGTTTGGTTTAATTTGGCCCAGTAGTTACAGAGGAGAGAATTTTTGAAAAAGTTAACGAAGGACAACGGACGACGACGGATGCCAAGTCCAAAAAAAAGCTCACTTGGCCTTTCCGCCAGGTGAGCTAAAAGGTTTCAAGTCATTCCTTATGAGAGACTCTAGACAATTGGTTGATTTTTCCAATTTTAAAATTAAGGGTTTACAAAGTGGAGTGTTTTCATTAATTGTCTGTACTTTTATTACTCTGTCTATTGTTGTGTACGAGTATCATAAAATTTGGATGAGGAAAACTTAAGTTAGAGTGCAGAAAAGGAGGGACTAACGCAAAGACGGATGGTCAAGGGTAACCATACTTGCCAACCTCTGACAATGAAAAATCATGTCATGTCAAAAAGCGTGTGAAAACGCGTGATGTAGTTGCGGACTTTTTAAAATGAACATTATACAAATTTGTTAATATAAAGCAACAATATTCTACTGTAAACTTTTATTGCATTCAACAGTGGCCTGTTTTTGCTGCTTTCAAAACAACACTACTAGGCAAATATTCAAAATAACTGCCACTTTGGTTACATTTACATGATAACAAGGCACACAATATATCATTGAGTTCTGATCTGAATTCAGTGTAAATTTCTTTATAATTGAAAATGCTCTCTCACAGTCAGAATTGTTATTTGGCAAAACTAAAATAGCTTTAACGTTTGAATAGCAAGCTTTGAAAGAATGTCATATATAATGGGTTTTTTTTGCCATTAAAAGTGTCATCTATGTCTGCCATTGCTCCTCACAAATTATATATGTTGCTATTGTCTGGTCAAAACTGGGTAGTTCATCAGAAGACAGCTGGTACTCAGAGAACTGATCTAACAGTTTTGTGATATTCCCTTCCAATATGGCCTGTGGAAATCTGTTGGCTAGATTTGAAACTGAAAAAGAAAAATAATTTATAATTTGAATACTATTGAATGCTTTATCAAATAGTACATCCTTTCACACATGTTGTTATGATTGCAAATGATTGATAATGTTTGCAGATGATCCAATATAAATATGAGAGTAACATAGGGTGCACAATGCATTGTTCGGCCCTCGATCACATTCAATTGATTTAACACAGACTCCCAACTTTTTTGGTACGTACACTGGTATCGTTTTTGCTTAGCACTCGGCTCTTTAGACGACAGTACAGGTCCCGAAAGTGACCGCCTTCTGCTGGACATTTCCCCAAAGTGAATTTGAGAGAAAGAAGTAACAAAATCTTAAAACCTACTTACAAACTTACCTGAAGTGAAGGGCTTTTGTTGTTCGTCCATATCGTAAATAAACAATGGCGACGTAACAATTTCTTCGAAAATCTCGGTATTTATCGTCTATTAATGAAAACACCTGTGAATCGCGATCTCACTAACGACCAAAAAATCAAAACAACGAAAAAAAGCGTGTAAAAGCGTGTAAAGTGGCGAAAAGCGTGTACACGCCATGTGACAAAATCCTCCCGTGTAAACCGTTGAAAAAGCGTGTATTACACGCGAATATCATGTGAGTTGGCAACCATGAGGGTAACACTTAATGCCCCCTTCGCCCAGTGGTGGGGGCATAATTAAAAACTACAATTGCCATCTAGCATAGTGCTGAAGTTCATCCTTACATCTATCAAAATAAATATCTAAGAATCTTTTATTTACTGCATGTGCACTTAAATTACTACTACATACATACCTCATCAATAGGGATAAGTACTTTAGCTACATCTATAATCCTTGGTAACATCTCCTGAACATATTTCTGAAAGTATTTTTTTTTAAACATTAGAAATTACATATCAATCATAAAAAGCTAAATCACAAAAATACTGAACTCCAAGGAAAATTCAAAAAGGAAAGTCCCTAATCAAATGGCAAAATCAAAAGCACAAATACATCAAACGAATGGACAACAACTGTCATATTCCTGACTTGGTACAGGCATTTTCTTGTGTAGAAAATGGTGGATTGAACCTGGTTTTATAGCGCTAAACCTCACTTGTATGACAGTCGCATCAAATTCCATTATATTGACAATGATGCGTGAATAAAACAAACAGACATAATAGCTAGGTAAAAATGTCAAAATAGGGGTACAGCAGTCAACACCGTGTCACAATCTTAATCACAACAAAAACAAACAAATATTTAACAAAGAAGCACAAAAAAGCATATATCACATTTAACAACCTCGTTCATTGCTTACTTATTTTTGTATTTTATTTATGAATGCCAAATCAACCCATAAAGGATCAAGGGATTTTAAGCACTGGGACCGAATGGTAATTTTAACATTAACTCTGGTGTAGAATCGTGTGTTTGACGTCAGAATGTAAACGTTACACAGGTAGAGATATAAAATAATTTTGTCGTTTAAAGTATGCAAAAATTATAATAGAACTTTAACACAATGGCGGGATGTTTGAAGTACAGAGACACGTCATATGTATCAAAGAAACATAAAAAGTCACACGGACAAAGCACACAAGTAAAAATGAAAAAGTTATAAAAATAAATGTGGATAGTGTCCACATGTGGACACAGATGATGCCCCCGCTTGCACATCATATAGTTATAAAGGGACATAACTGAAGAACGGTAAAAGTGACACTACCCAAATTTGAACTTGATCTGAGTTTTGTGGTAATTAGCATTGTGTGTAAGTCTTATAACATTTGGTTGAGGCTAACTTAAGTAGAGAACAGAAACTAAAAATTCAGCAATTTTTCTATGTGTAAACACGCATAACTCTAGAACGGTTGTGTATAAGTTTTATAACATTTGGTTGAGACAAACTAAAGTTAGAGAATGGAAACGAAAAATTCAGCAATTTTTATGTTTATAAAGGGACATAACTCAAGAATGGTAAAAGGGTCGCCACCAAATTTCGTACTTAATCTGTATTATGTAGTAATAAGCATTGTGTATAAGTTTCATAACATTTGGTTGAGGCAAACTAAAGTTAGAAAACGGAAACAAATTAATTTATCAGTAGGAAGTAAAAATGAATATTGCATTGTACAAAGCTTTGGTTGTAGTTGATTCACAAAGAAAGATAACTCCAATTTTCAAAGAAGACTTTAAAATATTTTTAGAAATGAAGGGTAAAAATTGCTTTAATTTATCAGTGGAAGGCAAAATTAAACATTGCATTCAACTATAATTATGGACAAAGGAAGATAACTCCAATTTTAAAAATGACTTGATATTTAGAAAATTTTTCCATTTGTAAAGGCATAACAGTAAAAGTGACGGCACCAAAATTCAAACTTGATCTGTATATTGTGCTAATAAGCATTGTGTATAAGTTTCGCATAACTCTAGAACGGTTGTGTATAAGTTTCATAACATTTGGTTGAGGCAAACTTAAGTTAGAGAACGGAAACTAAAAATTTAGCAATTTTTCCATTTGTAAAGGAGCATAACTCTAGAACGGTAAAAGTGACGCCACCAAAATTCAAACTAGATCTGTATTTCGTGGTAATAAGCATTGTGTATAAGTTTCATAACATTTGGTTGAGGCAAACCAACTTTGGGACGTACAGACGGATGGATGGACGGACGGTACGACGGATAAAGGGTAAAACTTAATGCCCCCTCCGCTACGGTGGGGGCATAAAAACTGCAAACTTTAAATATAATAGAAAATCTGAATATTTCTCTGAAAGATAGAGGCACGGACAATTTTTAATCCAGACTCTCTGACAATTTGATTAAAACCTTATGAATAAGGAGTTGTGGAATGGTTGATAATGAGACAAACTATCAACCACAGTTCAAATGATGTTAATGTAAGCAATTAGCAGCACTTTACAGTATGCAACAATCAGAAAACCCATACTGTCAGCTAAATGAACCATTTTCACCCAGATTCTTCAGCCTTTAGACTGATTTCATAAATGATTTTCCTTTGAAATACCGGCAAATTTGTAATTCTTCCTGGACAGGAAGTTCAACTAGCTGTGTTAACTGTCAAATTAAGTGACCCATTAAGTGCATGGCTTCACTTGACATCTTTGGTGTCAAACACACTGTTAATTAGCACCAAATACCTTAGCTTAAATCTAAATATGTTCATCATAACATAAAAAAACACATTCACAAAGTTTTAAATTTATATTCCCTCTAATAACGGAGAAAATCAAATATTTGTAACTTTTTTGGTTGACATACGTCATCGGGTTGTGACGTTTAAACCTGATTTGGTGAATGCTGGGAAAAATTAAAATCGGTTAAAGTCTTTATCGCTTATGGAATTTTTACGTAATTAAAAGCACACAGATGACCATTTCTTGTAGCTAATAATGGCAATATAAGAATGAAACAAAATGAACACAGGCGTGCTGTTTTGCATTGATTTAATAAAAATTCCTATATGGTATATATTTACGATTTAATTTCATAAATTATTGTTGAGATTTTTTCGGGAAATATTTATTGAACACAAATTATTTACTGATATTGAACTGAAATATTTTTGGCTTTTATTTACCATAATAATTTTGGACAACCTTTTCTACACAAAGTCTGTGTGAATAGAATGTGTCTATTATTTTGTAAATGCATTGATTAAATCTGGAATAGATGAGCGTTATGTAAAACAATTCGTTTGAACTTTACCTGAGAGCAATTTAGCCTCAAGCGTACACTGTTACAGGTGTGAATGTTGTCATTTTGCATGGATTAACAGAAAGAGTATGGAGAGTTTAATATACCAAGATTAAATACCCGATGACAATAAGAATAGAATAATTTAATTGTGTAAATTCATTAAAAATAAAATTAAAATTTTTAATTCCGGCAGTGTATAAAATTAAAAAAGGAACAATTTTGGATTACGTACTACGCAATTAGCATAAAGATTCAAATATGAACAATAAAAGAATAATGCTTTTAATGTTATATTTTCCCGATTTAATAGAGAGAAACCATTGCACATGTGTTTAATTTACACTACCGGACTTCTTTAACTTATTTAAATCTGGTGATGTAAAATGCCAACAGGTGGAAACAATTGTAAACTATCTAAAGTGTTAAGTTTTCAATGGATGGAAAAAAATACAACAGTACAACGTGCATGACTTTTTAATATTCTTTTTAACATTTTATTCTTACATTATAAAATTTAATTATTTATTCCGTTTGAGGATTTTTTTTACAAGTTAATTCGTGGTCAGTAGGGAATAATTTTCCTCATCAAATGAACCTTTACTCACGTATTTGTTTTCTTATGAATAGAGCGTGTTAAAAATGGTCCCTCAATATATCTTTAAAGTTTGAAAACATGAAAATTAAATATATCAATTTTATATTATATGATAATCTGGTGCAATACCCTAAAGGTTAGCCGTCATTAATCCAAATTAGTAATAGTAGTAATTTAAGTTAAATAGTAATGCATTACTGACAATGACGATTTTGAGAACAGTTCGTTTCAACCCCATTGTTCTTGAAACAAGCTGATGTTTAGCCACCTTTTCTCTAGTTTTTCTATTACTGGTGTTGAAATGAATATTTATACTACACAACAGTTATGTTGTATGGCTTATATCAGTAAATAATTGTGCTTCACCGAGCGCTGCTGGATACGACCGTAGAGGTCCAACCCTGAATAGTTGGGGCAAAAATGGACACAATATACAAGCTTGATACAGGTCTGTAATTAAATATTTGACACATTATAGATTTCTGACACAGAATAAATGTAGTCAAAGAACTTGAAATTGGTTCTATGATTTGAATTTATATTCAATTGAAGATTTCTAGCTGTTGTGCAATACATTGTGCTGTTGCGCAATACTTAGTAAATCTGTTTTCAGACTATATACAAAGAATAAGCAAAATAAATTGTGACCCCAATTTTTTTTTTGGGAAAATTGATAATTTCTTAAATCTTGAAAGGAAAAAAATGACCCTCCCCCCTAAAAAAAAATAATGGGAAATAAAAATAAAAAAAATAAAATCCACCAACCCGCCCCATTTATTTCAAAAATCTGGATGAAAATCTCATTAATTCTAGTTGGCCTTATGGTCCAATATCCAAAATCTAAATACACTGTTAGATTCAGCATATCCAAGTACATTAACAATTTTATTTATTTATTGATGGACAAAAAAAGTTTTTAAAGGGGTTTGCTTCATAAAAAAAATTTTTATATAGCATTTTGCAAATTAATTTATACAGAATAACAAACAAACCTACCTACCAATAAGTTCTTCCAAAAATTTACCAAAAAAATGAAAAAAAAAATTCCAAAATATCATTCATCATTCATACAATGTCTTTAAAAAATCTATAAAACTTACCTTTATTTTTTAAAATATCTAATTATGAAATTTCAAACTATATTTATACATAATTTCTAAAATTAGAATATGACGCTGTATCTATTTATAACAATGAATCTTCTTTCAATTTCTATTAATTGTGCAATTCATCTCTGGATTTGGATTGTGATTAAATATTTGACACAGCAAAGGTTTCTGACACAGAATAATAAGTCTAAGAACATAGAAATTTGAAATTGGACATACCTTATATGGTCAAATATCCAAAATCTAAATACATGGTTAGACTCAGCATATCAAAGAACCCCAAATATTCAAATTTTGATGAAATCAAACAAAGTTTAATTTTGGACCCTTCGGACCTCAATGTGGACCAATTTGACAATGAGGCCCAAAATCCAAAATCTGAATACATGGTTAGATTCAGCATATCAAAGAGCCCCACATATTCAATTTTTGTTGAAATCAAACAAA